GGTCTAGTGTATACAATTATAGATTGCCTTGCGTAAGACCATATTTAGGTTTTCAAATGAGGTTTTAATGTTTACTAGCTTCCAATATACAGGCGATGTTACCCCTTTTTAATTGTAGCACTGATGTTGGTGTTGGAATTACATCCACTCCCAAATCGTTTCTCTTTCTGATTCGCGTCGATGTCTACATCTAATCGAGAAGTTGTCTTCTGGTCTCCCTTCTTCCTTCCTTTCTCATCTTCATCACCTTACACTTGTTGGGATTGAATTCTAGCATCCATATGTTTGCCCACTCTAATTTATATCTAGGTCTTCCTGTTGCTTTCTGCAGTCCTCGGTTCATAAATTTCTCGCTAGCCTTGCATCGCCTACGATTGACATACACCTCCAAGGTAGGATCCAAGCTCTTGGTTACCAATCACTTACTACATTCACATTGTGGACCATTCACAATCGACTTGAGAATGGTCCAGGACGGACCGAAACGTCGTCGTCCCTTCACCTTCTAGTGTGTGGTCTGGTCAACATACTTTTGCCACGTTATTGTGACTCATTGCCTGCACTTGCTACATTCCTCGAGCTCGGAATCTCTGTGACTGGAACATTGTTTTCGCTCCTTTAGGTATTTCCTTAACCAATTTTCAGTGTCTTTCCAGTTTCCCCTGCTTATTCCTCCACCCTGTACACCAGACTTTTATGAGAAACAGAATCGAACATAGAAAATTACGGTCTACCCAGCCTTCTTTTCCCTGTTGTATTTTAGCAGCTCAGTCATAGAACTCGATCATGTTTGTCATATATGACTTTCTTGTTCTGAATCAATGCTGCCCTTTCACTACAAAATTTGTATTCTCTTGATGCTACCTGTTTTCTCAAGCTGAATATTTTCGTCATCACTTTACACGGAATACATGTCAAGTGACACTGGTTTGTAATTTAGTGCCTCTTGTCTGTCCCCCCTTTTCTTAATATGAAGACTGTGTGTGTGTGTGTGTGTGTGTGTGTGTGTGTGTGTGTGTGTGTGTGTGTGTATGTGCTCACCTAGATGTGACTGCAAGGTCGAGTTTCAGCTCCCAGCTTTAAGTTAATACCAGGCACCTCCCCACATCCCCTGCGCGTGTGTGTGTGTGTATTTGGTAGCTTGTGTGTGTGTGTGTGTGTGTGTGTGTGTGTGTGTGTGTGTGTGTGTGTGTGTGTGTGTGTGTGTGTGTCTGGGCGCGTTTATTCATGCATGTGTATGAATATATGTATATATACATATGTACTAATATAAATAGTCTGCCAGATTATGTGAATGGAGAACTTTTATATATTTCGTCAATTAAGTCCTCACCACATATTCAGACAACAGTGAATGTGTGTTGTGTGTTCCTTAAGGTCCAGAGAACTTTTGATAAAGTCATTACCAGGCTAAGTTATTTTTGTACATGGTACTTAAACCACGCCTGGAATTCATATTTTATACATGAATGTTAAGAACAAATGTTCTTTTAATATTGTATTTTATAAATAAAATGAGTTAAGACACAAGTGCATTTTTATTAACACGTTTAATTTTTTTTAATACACTCATTCCCGGATGATTATTGGGCCAATTACAGCAAACGACTAATCGTCTGGATACAGAGAACTCTAACTTTGCAAAATATTAAAGTTTCCCCTCGCGGTGTTAAGCCAAAACACCTTTACAATTGTAAATGCAAATTAAATGGTTATAATTATAATACTGTATTCCTAATAATACACAACGAAATCCCACTAACGCGATATATCAATGAGAGACTGAATAGAGCAATGCGGGGATTTGAACCCTCGATCCAGTTACGCCTAATCCATGATGCACCTTACCCTGGGATCACGACATGATATAAGTTATACAACCAGTAAATCAATAATAAATAAGAAAATCAATCAATCATCTCAACCAGGGATTCCACTGAATCCTACAGCCCGTGCTACATGGACACTTCGTTCTGAGTAGCTAAATCTAAACCAACAACATCCACTGAATTCAAAGGACGTGTAGAGGCTCCCACTGAAGCCAGTCCAGGTTTTACATATAATTAACTCTGGTACAGGTAATTGGCCCAATTCTGGCCCAATTAACTC